TTGGGGGTTGTGGAAAAGGTATATAAAGGGCAATAAAGTGGAAAGAGGGGTCTCTCCGCCTCTCTCTCCTTTTTCTTATCCTCAGAGATAGTGTTTTTCTTTCATCCTCTCCCCTCCTCTCAGGTCCTGTTCGACTAGTGACGGCTGGCACCGTCACACCAGTGTTCCCGCCGAGTAGCATCGAAGCCCCGTGTTCTGTGAACAGTGTAAAATAGTGTGCTGCCGAGTATTTAAAAAGCAAAGTCAAGGCCAGGGATTTAGCTCAGTGGTTCCACTGCCTGCCTCTCAAGTGCAAGGTCTCGAGTTTGATTCCTGGTACCAAAAAACCCAAAACCAAAGAAAGAAAGAAAAAAAAAGCAAAATGTATTTTTTTTGTTTCAAAGCTTGATACTATCAGAAGATTCTCGTATAGAGGATTTCAAAATTTTGAGAAATATAGAAAAGCTTTTTACATTTCTATATTTAAGGGTTTTTAAAAAGATCTTTGAAAAGGTTTTTTCAAATTTAGAAGAGAGGTACTAAAATGGCTCACAAATCACCAGGATTTGGTTAGAAAACTAGTTGGAGGACATTAGTCTGACAGGTTCATTTGTCTTGGCTTTTTACTGTGTCTGGCTTTGAGAAATGAAGGAACTATTGGAATGAGCCACATATGTTTCCCAGAATAACTACAGAATTCTATCAGAATACTTTATTCTACCAAGTGCACATACTGATTTTTTTGTTGTTCTTTTTTTTTTTTTGGTACCAGGGATTGAACTCAAGTCCTTGCGCTAGCAAGTTAGGTGGTGTAACCACTGAGCTAAATCCCGGCCCCCACACACTGGTTTTTAAGCCTTTAACATAATATGCACTTCATTTCAAATTTGAATTAAAATTTTATTAAGTAATTCATTCACAGAGTTCAAAATTCAAACCCTAAAAAAGCACATTCAATACGAAGCCCCTCGCTTCCTCCTCTGACCCCATGTTCTCTCTGAAGCTTGTGGATGCTGTACCCACCTGTGTTCTCTGCACGTCTCACATGCACACTGCCTGCACCTCACTTTTAATTCGTGTATCTTGAAGGTGATTCTGTTAGTACAGAGCCCTTTATCTTTTTTTAACAGTTTATTGTATACAAATTACTTTTTGTAGAGATGTGAGTTTTGTCCGTTTTTTTCTACTAAGAGCAGTATTACAATGAACAGCTTCACGAGTATGTCATTTCACACACTCACAGTCTATCTCAGATTTTGCTGCGTATTTCAAATTGACCCCATATAAATCCTGGTGTCGTAATCCTTAATCTCTTTTTAAAATGGTAACAGGAGTTTTTTGTTTTTGTTTTTTGCAGCACCGGAGATCAAACTCAGGACCTTGTGCTTGTGAGGCAGGTGACAGAACCACTGAGCTAAATCCCCAGCCCTACTTTTTTTTTTTTTTTTTGAACTCACTATGCATTCCAGGCTGGTCTTGAACTCACAGCAATCCTCCTGCCTCAGCCTTCTAAGTGCTGGCATTACAGGCATGCACCACCACACCTGGCAACAGTTGTTCTAACAGGTGCCAAAGATGGTTTATGTTTTGTCTTCCTCAGTCACCTGAACAAACCCACCCCAAGCTGTCCACCCCTCCTCGTCTCAGTCGGGGACCCTGGCTCTGCAGGCAGCACCACCTGCTGGACTTTCCTGAACATTCAACTTTTCCCTTCCCTCTGAGCTGCTTTTAAAATTTTATTTATTCTCCCCTATTACTTTATTTATTGTTCTGAGCTCTTATTACACCCTGTCATCATGCCCACTGTACTGTGACTCAACCTTGAGCTAAGAAACACATTTTGAGGTGTGTGGTGGAACAGGTCAGCAGTTAGGCTGCTGAGATGTAGGTAGACTCAGCATGGACAGTAATGAAAGGACGTTCTTGTTTTCTGCCTCCATGGAAAACCATAGATGAAGAAGCATTTGAATCTGGTAAATTAAAAATTAATATTGTATTTGGTGCTGCTTTTTAAATGTATATTTCATATTTTGCTATAATTTAAACATTTAAGGATGTTACACAATAATTGAGTGCAACAGTGAAATAAAATAAGAATAAAAATAAACATGGGAGATTGTTAGTTTGCTTCATATAGTAACAGTGTGGTATCTGTATGTATGCTGTAACATTAGGTTGCAAACCTCAAACACACATAATAAAATTTATTTTTAAAATTGCCAGACATGGTGGATTATAGGCGCACACCTATAATCCCAGTACTTGGGAGGCTGATGTAGTGGGATCACTGTAAGTTTGAGGCCAGCCTGGACTACATAGCGAGGCCTTGTCTCTAAAACAAACAAAAAGTGCAATAAAGGCTGCAGTTGTGAGACAGAAAGCTTGGAAGTGCTGTCCAGGCGGGGCACCAGCTCTGCGTGAGCAGAGTGGGCGTGCCCAGCAGGGCCAGTGTGCGAGACCTGCTCGGTGACCGCTGTCTCTTGACAGATGCCTTCCTGCTGGCCAAGCCCATCACAGTGTGGGTGGCAGCTCTTCCATACCCAGGGCTGGGACCATGGAGTCCCTTCGCTGGACGTGCAGTGGTGTCGGGGCAGCCATCCCCCTGGAAAAGGCGTTTGGACAGACAGACACCGATGGCAGTCCTGGACACTCATTCGTCCTGCACGCTGTCTCCTCTGCAGGGAGGGTAACAGAGCTGGAGATGCAGCATCTGCATGCAGCTGCTTATTTTTCTTCAACACATGACTTTTGTTGTTGATGACACCTGGTGAGGATCAAGTGTCTCCCTCAGGACAATATTGGTATCATTAGTGACCAAAGAGGTCCTGCCTGGGGTCTTTAAGAACTGTCAGGGCTACGCGTGCCTCACCAAGTGCAAGGTCCTGAGTTCGATCCCCAGTACGGGGCGGGGCAGGGAACCTGTCATCGCTGGCACTGTGGACAGGACTCGCCTGGGTCCAGCTGACTGCTTGGCCTCCTTTGCCTGTTCTCCAGTTTCCCCTTGCCTCGGCAGACTAACCCTTCTTCCGGGAAGGCAGTTTTCCTCCATGTCATACACGTGTGATCTGGCTGTTGTCCCTCAGCAGAGCACTTTATCTCATGTCCAACTCTACGTAGCTCTTCCTTGTTTCTGTACTGCAGAAAATCTACCCATCTTCTCACTGTTAAGTCCACGATGCTGCTTGTTGAGTGGATACAAGCGTCTTGAGAGAAGTCATGCCCAAGGTTTTATATTTTGGTGTGTAGGTATGTGTAGGACAGGACTGCCTTTTTATTTTCCCTTTATAGTAGTTAAACTATATGTGATTTTTTTTCTTTTTTTTTTTTCCTTCTGGTACTGAGGATCGAATTCAGGACCTTGTGCTTGTCGGGCAGGCAGTGGAACCACTGAGGTAAATCCCTGGCCCCCATGTGGATTTTTAGTCACATGTACAGTGGGCTATGTTATCTATGGATTTCATTTCATAGGAATAGAAATATTGGCACAAATAGTAGTTATGAAAGGCAGCACTGGGAGGGCAGAGTTGGTAACCACTCACTTAAGTAAGTGAGCTAGTCACGGTTTACATTGTTTCTAAATTCCCATTTTCCATGAGGTAGTTGGTCTGTCAGGGATAATTTGAGTTTTATGCTTGACCCGATGTTTGGGATTGGTCTCTTTTAATTCCCGTACATTACACCTGTTCTTCTTTGTTCTCCTCACTCAGCGCTGAGCCCCAGGCTGTGGCAGAGGCTGAGGGCCGGCGGGGGGGGGGCACAGGGGAGGCCCCGTGGGCTTGGGCCTGCTGTCTGGTGTGAGGCTGGGTCTGTTACCCTGGAACTCCACCTCTCTGCCCTTCTGGCCGGGTCTCCACAGCAGAGGATTCTCTCCACAGGGAAAGTGCTCAGGGCAGTGCCTGGACCGCTCTGGCGCGCCTGAGGTCACTGGGGTTACTGTCCGGAAGGAAGCCTGTCCTTCAGGGGTGACCAGCCCTACGGGGCCCTCATAGGCGCAGCCTCAAGTGCCCGAGCCTGGTCCTTGTGGAAGCTCAAGGAGGGAGCAGTCAGTGCTTGATGCCAGACACTGAGGCAGGCACGCCAGCATTCACCTGATGGGGAGTGAGGGGTAATGTGACCTGCAGTGCCTCGCGGCTGCTGGCCTGGCTCGTGGTTAGGAGGCCAATTAGAAAGCCTGGGGGCGGGGGTGCCGCTCAGTGCCAGAGCACTTGTCTGGCAGGTGCAAGGCCTAGGTTCTATCCCCAGCACCAAAAAAGTAGAAAATACAGGGCCGGGGATTCAGCTCAGTGGTTCCTCCACCTGCCTCGAAAGTGCAAGGTCCCAAGTTCGATCTCCAGTACCAAAAAGAGTAGAAAATAAAATAAAATGTTGAAAATGTAAAATCCAGAAAATATGGCTATTTCAAGATGTCTAGTCAACCACCAAAATCAATTTGCTTTGGATTTTGGTCCCCTGTGGTAGAGGGGCAGCCGAGAGGACATTAGCTTTCAGACGGATGAGGCTGTTCAGGCCACAGGCTGCTTGCTGCACCTTGGCCCTGCTGCGCTGTCCACCACAGGCCCGTACAGCACAGCGCTGCACAGTGATGCCTTTGAGAGAGGGGCAGGAATCTCTCTTTCTTATGTCCTTTTAATTATTATTATTATTTCCAGTGCTAGGGATTGAACCTAGGGCCTGTGCACTGAGCCCCATCCCCAACCTCTTTTTATTTTTTAATTTGAAACACTTGCAACTTGGAATCCTCCTGCCTCAGCCTCCTGGGATTACAGGATTGTACACCCGTACCCGGCTTCAAATCCCATTTTATCCCAATCAAGAGTCTTCAAGGATAAAAAGATCCCAGGAAGGGTCTTGTAGTCAGTGTCAGAGTAAGGACAAGTGGGTCTTGGAGCCCTTGCCAGGCCTTACCCCGTCAGGCATTTGCTAATGTGACATGGATGCCTGCTCAGGTCGTTTGCTTTCTTTGATGGCTGGCTTGCTCTTCTGAAAGGCTTAGCTTTTTCACATCTCTTTCTGCACTCAACACACGTCCAGAGGAACTTTCAGAAGGTAAACTGTTTGATTTCCTGGGCACCCACATAGAGCTGTGTACAAGGTTTTTCAGTGCCACACAATGAATGCTTAACTGGATGATTTTTAAGGAGAAGAGATAATATTTTAAGGGTCAGATCAATGATTAAATATTTGATTTAGTGCAGCTGGGCATGGTGGCTCATACCTGTGATCCCAGCACTGGCAAAGCTGAGGCAGGAGGATCACTATGAGTTCAAGGCCAGCCTGAACCACATAGAAAGACCCTGTCTCTAAACAAACAAACAAACTGACTATGGAGATATTTTAAAATGAAAGTAATTAAGCTTTATGAATCTATCCCTCAATAAACATCTCCTTTCAAACCTGTTGACATATCTCAGTCAGAAAAATGTGCTTACTTATCAGAAGAGGGAACTGATATTGGAGTGTTTTCTTTGTATTTTAAAATGCTTTTTTTTTTTTTTGGTACTGGGAAGTGAACTCATGGCCTCGTGCTTACCAGGCAGGCACCGCACCACTGAGCTACATCCCCAGCCCTGTTTGTTTATTTTTTGAGACAGGCTCGCCTCAAACTCTCAGCGATCCTCCTGCCTCTGTCTCCCAAGTGCTGGGATTACGGGCGTGTGCCACCACACCCAGTCTAAAATGCCTATTTTTAAAAAAGGGTTGAGAAAAGAACATGATACAGATCAGTTTATCCTATGAACAAATTCTCCTTATATATTACTGCAGTGATACAAACAGTTGCATAAACAACCAGGTACAAAGTAATCTGAAAATTTTTTTCTTGGAGTTTATAACAATTGTTTGGAGGTCCCGCGGAAGCAGAAACAAGAGTCTGGACCAGCTCTGGGTGCTGCAGGTGCCAGTACAGTTTCTTCACTGCTTACCTGTGCCTGGCCACCCCTGGGCAGGGCCAGTTTTACATTTCAACGAACCCTTGTTTAAGGAAGAAAATAAAATCCCGTAACCAGCAGAGAGATTACTTACAGGAAATGCAAGTTAAAGGCAAAGCAAATTATTTCTTTTTTTAAAATCAGCTTTCTTGGGAGATGTTTAAAAATGTGTGTCCTGTTTTTGTGTTTTCCCTACGGTTCTGCATCTTACTCATAACTGAACAAGCCCGAGGCAGCGCTGTGTTCTCCGCGCGGGGGACTGAAGGCTCGCGCGGGCGCGGGCTCCGAGTCAGCTGAAAGCCAAGCGTCCCGCGAGTCGGTCCCGGTCATCTCGGTCCCCACGTGTTCTGGTCTGCCTTTCTCTCTTCCCGAAAAGGAGGGACCAGCGGGCAGCGGGCAGAGCTTCTTTCTGGGTGGGTGAGGACGGCAGCCGGGTCCGTGTCCGTCCGCCGGATGCCGTTTGCGGACGCGCTTTCCAGACGTGGAGGTGCCGGCGCGGGAGAGCAGGAACCGCGGGCTCTGAGGGAAAGACGCTGGCCCCTCACAGGCACCTCCGCGCCCCGCCCCCCGAGCTCCGCCCCAGCGCTCTCCCGGAGACGCCCTGCCTCTTCCGCGCCCGCCTCGCACAGACAGCGCGGCCCGTCTCATCCGTGCTCGCCTCCCCGCCCTGGCTTCCGCCGCAGCCTGCGCCTCTGTCGCAGGAAGTCGCGCCTCGGCCGGCCCGGTGGCCCCGTAAGAGGAGGTGGCCAGGTACCAGTGCCGCCCGCCCGGCCCCGCCTGGCCGTGCTCGTGCTCGTGGGTACGTGCGAGCCGCGCCCCTGCGAGGTCCTCCGGAGCTGGGGTCCTGCCCTGGGAGCGGTGGGAAAAGAGGAAATTCTTTAGGGAGCGCCTTGTAAATAGCTTTTTTAAAGCCTACTTCCCGTGCTTATAAGTCATCTTTTACTGTAGCAAGCTTTACAAAAATGTTTATCTCCAGTTGAATGTAGTGTGGCACGGTGTGTATCAATGTGTGTGATGACAAGGCTACAAAGGAGGGTTTTTTTGCTTGTTTAGAATTTGTTCTATAAGCATAGATAGTGTAACTCCCATTCTGGGCCATTAATCTATATTATGAAAAGAAATCCTTACAGCCCATTTTCTTAGGAAATCTCCTTTACAACAACTGGGGTTGGTTGGCAGGCAGAGGCAGGAGGATCACTATGAGTTTGGGGCCAGCCTGGACTACACGGTCTGAGCTATATAATAAGGCCCTGTCTCTCAAACATCCTTTAGCAAAGAGTCTACATCTTTTGTACTGTATCTTTGATGCTAAAAACCCGGGGAAATTTTTTCTTTTTTTGCGGTACCGGGGGTCAAACTCGGGACCTTGTGCTTGCAAGGCAGGCAGCGGCACCACTGAACTAAATCCCCGGCCCTGGCCCAGGGAAATGTTGAGCAGAGAGACCTGATTTTGTGGCCACCGTGTGTGCAAAGTTGTGCAAATAGCAGTGGAAACTTGCCTCTTGCCCCAGCCCCTGCTCACAGTGAGCAGGGCAGCCCCGAGAGCAGGCAACATGCCTGGCAGGCAGGAGAGGCCAAATCAGCAGGGCTGGGGCAAAGTGGAAAGCAAGGCCCTTTGTTCGGGAATTATTCAGGACCCCAGGCAGAGCAGCAGGGCACTGATCCCAGCCTGGCCCCATCTAAGCGTCGCCCAGGGGGCTGCACAGGAGTCAGCTCCACTTCCCACCGGAAAAGCTGCTGCTGACCCCACCCACTGCAAACGGGTCCTGAATCTGGAAGTCACAGACTCTGTGGTCACCAAGGCCAATTTCTGGTTGGGATTCAGTAGCAGTTTTATTTGAAGTAGAAATGCAAGATGTCTCAGATTATCAGAGTCAAGGGCAGCCAGTTCTCCCAGCGCCCAGTGTTACCTCAGAGCGCTGGATGTCAGGGTCCCACCATCCCTGCCTCAGCTCCCAGCAGTCAGCTGTGTGAGTTACTCCCGGCCACCAGGAAAGTTTCCAAGAGTTTTCTGGGCTTGTTCTGTAATTTCCCTAAAAATATTTGCTCAAGTTTCTGTGATAGAACCACTGAAGTAATTTCACCACATACTGATCCATGTCTGATGACTCTGGATGTGACTTTTGTGTTTAGGGCCTTCTGGTGTTGGAGTCAATGAACTGAGAAGACAACTCATTGAATTTAACCCCGGCCATTTTCAAAGTGCTGTGCTACGTACGTTCTGTGCTTCTCTCTTAGTCACTTAATAAAACTTTACCTCTTCTAAGGGCTGATCTTACTGAACTATGCCATCTTTGTCATGTATGTCTGTCCTTTAGGACATAAGGGGTAGTGCTGAAGTATTTCCAGCTGCACTCATTTTTTTTTTTCTCTGACCATTTGTTTAATTCAAGAGAACAAGCTGAACACACAAGAAGCCTGTAAACACGAGTACAGAAAGATGAAGCTGCGGCATAGAATTCTTACTCCACGACACAAATCTGCATGGGGTTTCTCTTGCTACAGGGAGGAAGAGCAGATTTTCTTTATGGGGGTGGTGGAGTGGCACACGGAGGAAGGAAGGAGGGAGTCACAGGATCAGAGGGGGACAGACAGTGCTGTTGGGCCTCCCACAGCCTGACTGGGCAGTGGTCACACAGCACCTGTGCTTGGCTGCAGCGGTGCCTGCCGCTGTTCTCTGGGCCTCCTCTTCTGTCTGGAGAGGCAGCTCAGCGCAGACTCACCATTCCTCGGGGCAGCAGCGACCGGGGGCAGCCTGCCAGACTGAGTGGGATACTTGGTTTTCAGGTCCTCCTTGAACAAGGGCTGGGAGAGCAGATGGCGCAGCTCCTTCAGGACCTTCATCTGCTTTTGTCGCCGACACTCTTCTTGCTGGTCTGCTTTTCCTCCCTTATACATCTCTCCTTCCAGCTCAATCTCGAGGGCAGCCGCTGCCTGCTCAATCCAAGAATTGTGCAGACAAGCCTGGAAGTTCTGGTACTCAGCCTTCTCGATTTGTTGAGCTAGGCGGATTCGCTCCTTGACTACATCCATGTACTTTGTCTGCACAGGGAAGAGTGGGATATCCTCATCTTTCTTGAGGGTCCTGTAAATCTTCTTAAAGTTGACTACACCCTCAGGCCCCATCAGCATCAGGCTGAGGCTTTCACTGGTGGCACGAGCAGTTTGACCACTTCAGTGGATGTAAATCTCTGTGGTGTGAGGGACCTGGTAATGGATGACATGTTGGACTTTAGGAATATCCAGACCTCGAGCTGCCACATCTGTTGCCAAGAGAACACAATCTTCCAGCTGGGCAAACTGCTCCTGGTTTCTGAGCCTCTGCTTCTCGTGCATGCAGGCATGGAGAGTCAATGGCATGATATTCAGGACTTTGAGGAGTCCCGACAGGCGTTTGATGCAGGAGATGCTGTTGGCAAACACTAAGCTGCGGCCTGGGTACTGCATTAGGAAGTAGTACAGGTAGAAGTCTTTCTCGTCTGTCTCACAATGGATCTTTCTGTCAGCGTCTCCACTGTGCCCTCATTCCTTGTGAGATCAGTGACTTTAGGCTTGCCTCTCATGCCAGTCTTCTGGATGAGGAGGTCAAGTTTGGCAGTTTTGTCCATTTTTTTTAACATGCTTCTTATGAAGCAGTTGAGCAGGAGCTTGATGTACCAGGGTCAGTGTAGCAGAAAAAACAAGTGTCTGTCTCTTTGGGTTGTACTGGGAATCATTGAGCATCTCTAGCAGCTGTGAGAGCTCAGCAAAATGACCTTTCTCAACCATCAGGTCCAGTTCATCTACTACCAGGGACCTGAGCTGCTGAAGGTTGCTTAAATGAGAGTGCTTTTCTTTAACAAGCTCCCACAGCTGTCCTGGCGTGGCAATCACAATCTCAGGATGGCAGTTCAACATCCTCTCCTGCTTCTGTGTGGACATCCCACCAACCAAAATAGTAGTTTTAATTCCTGTAAACTTGGCCACAGCATCAATATGCTGTTTGACCTGGACGGCCAGCTCTCATGTGGGAGTCAGAACCAGCCCAAGCAGGGGACGCTTTGGATGTGTTTTATAGGTAGCAATATTGTCATCTAACTCCTGTTTTAACTCACCAGTCAGTTCTCCATCAAGCATTTCTTCCTCAGCTTCAATCTGTTTGGGGACAGGTTCCTCTTCTATCAGAGAAGAAGGCCCTTCACCAGCAGCAGCAGCATCACAGAGCAGGCTCTGGTCTGAGATGGAGGCATGGGTCTTGGCTCTGGCCTTCAACTCAGAATCACTGGGGAGTGCTACAGTCTCAACTCCAGCCTCACTGGGCAGCACTGCAGACTCACTTCCGGCCTTGCTTGGTGATTCAGTCTCAGCTCCAGCCTCTGTCTGGGTCTCTCCAGATGGCACTCCAGCGTTACTTGGGATGGGCAAAGGCTTCTTCTGCCATTGCAGCACTGCATGCATCACTGGGATGGCAAAGGCAAGAGTTTTCCCACTTCCTGTCTTAGCAGCCCCCAGGATGTCCAGCCTGTCATGGATGGCAGGCACCAAGGTCAGGGCTTGGATAGGTGTGGGTGCAGAGAAGCCTAGAAAGCTGAGTGCTCGGAGAACTGGCTTAGGTACAAATAAGTCCTTCCAGGCTGACACATCTGCTTTCTGGTCATGCACTTCAGGCATCCATGTCTTAGCTTTTTTGGGCACCTTAGGGGCAGTGCTTTGGGAAGGCTCTAATTTTTTCTTTCCCCTTGTTTTTCTTCTTTTTTGGAACAGTTTGTACCAGGGTTTCTGATGCTACTTTCCCTTCCTCTGGACCAGGACAAACAGTGTCATCTCCATGGGGCTCTGGCTCAGGATCTTTGACCTCAAACTCTTTCTGGGTAGAGGTTTCTTCAGTAACTAGTACCACATCTTTATTCTTCTTCAATTTGATCTTTTTCTTTGTCTTTCTTCCTCCTCTTCTGAAACTGTTTGTGCCTTTCTCTTCTTGGGATCCTCTTTGAAGAGACTGGAGGAATTCTTGGCAGGGGAGACCAACCGGTAATCTGTCAGTTCTTCAAAGCACACCAAGTCATCCATCTGTCCATCTGCAAACATATTTGGGTCAATCTGCACCTGCTTCCATTTTCCCACAACTTTAATGCCCTTTGTCTGAAATTGACCACGATGTGGTGGCTTTTGCCTCGGTTTTGTCTCCTTCAACTTCATGGTTGCACTTCCAGTTCTTGCCAGCCTACGCTTGGGACCCGGCCTCCCTCTCCCGACCTAGGGAACCCGGCAAAGCCCACCCGAGGTGTCACTGCACAGCCCTATCTGGTACCCTGCACTCATTTTAATAAAGAGGACTGATGTCCAGCAGAAGCCAGCGAGGGCTTTTAAAGGTGACTCTGTTTTCTCCATTTCTAACAATCTACAGATGACCGTTCAGGAAATCTGATATTTAGCAACAAGCCAGCGCTGATTCAGTACTTACCATTTCCTAGCACTGTGCTTGGCTCTTCACTCAGCTTATTTTTTTTCTAAAAATTTTAATATTTGCATACATAACTTTATATAAATTTTTAGAATATTTTTACCATACATGGTGATTTTCTGATTTCCTTTTACCTAGGGCTCCTTTACTTCACCATCACCACCATCCCTCAGATGTGACCTTTCAGACTTCTCTGTTCACTTCTCCTACAGCTGTGTCTGCTTTTTAAAACATTGAAGAGCTGCATTCTAAAACTATAATCTATTATTCTTCCATAGTAGGGGTAATCCAGAAAAATCTCTAAAAATCACTCTAAGGAAACATTCTTTGTTGTAAAAATAGAGAAGAAAAAGACTTGAGATAGAACTTTTGATTTCAAGTCCATAGAAAGTAGATAATTCATAGTCTCTAATGCACGTGAAAGGGGCTAAAGTTGTGACAGGGTACTAAGATGACTGGGAGGGGCATACTGAAGACTGGACCCAGGGCTTTTGCACTGGGCTGTGTTCCCAACCCCTTTTACATGTCTTTCTTTCTTTTTATTGTGATAAAGGGTCTTGGTAAGTCACTAAGTTGCCCATGCTGCCTCAGCCTTCCAGAGCCCTTGGATCACAGGTGTGTGACACCACACCCAGGTGAAATGAAAATCTTTGAGTGAGGAATGTGGAAATCAGTTAGGACCCTCACACATACCAAGGGTATGACAGGGTGGGGAAGGAGCCAAGCATGCCTATAACCCCAGCATTTAGGAGGCCGAGGCAGGAGGATCGCTGAGAGTTTGAGGCCAGCCTTGGCTACATAGTGAGTTCAAGGCCAGCCTGAACTACATAGCAAGACCCCTGTCTTTAAAACAAAGCAAAATAGATACCTCAGATTATGCAGGAACTCATAGACTTTAACCTTATAAAATTTCAGTCCAACAAAAACAGAGGAGAAGGACTCATCTTAGGTTTAGATGAACACAATTCGGTGTCACTTGGGAGCTTTAAGTTCTTGCTATATTTTTTTGTTTTAAGTGGGAAGCTGTGTAGGAACTCTTAGGATATGAAGAGAGGATCAAATAAAGAAAAAACAAAAATTACCCCAAGATGACACGTGCTTTTTAAGCCCCTTGAGGATCTGTAATTCCTTTGATATTTTAAGGTATACTTCAAGTCCCTCTTTGGTCATTTCCATTTGTTGATGTCATCAGATGTTGATCTGATTCATCATAAACTCTGTCAAATGAAAATTCAGAAAACATTATGACCAAGGGTAATTTGTTGTAGGCCATGGTGGTAAACACATATAATCCCAGCTACTCAGGAGGCTGAGACAAGAAAATGACAAGTTCGAGGCCAGGCTGGACAACTTAGCAAGACCTTGTCTCAAAATAAAAGAGTTAAAGGGCTGACTGTAGGTCAGTAATAGAGTGTGTGCCTGGCACGCATGTTGCCACTGTTGCCTGGACAAAGGGAGAGAGAGAGAGAGAGAGAGAGAGAGAGAGAGAGAGAGAAAGAGAGAGAGAGGGACTTCATTGTAGTGGGAAATAGGTTAGCGCTGCAACATGCAAGACAGAGTTGAAGTGTGTGTTACAGAGTTTTCAGAGCCTAATGAAATGACTGGAACTTCATGGGCACATAGCGTGTGTTGGTTGAAAAAGTAGATGAGCAGATAGTAAGTCACTTTTAGATATTTGATGAACTTGTACAATTCTATCAGTTCATACCAAAGAATCAGATGGAGTCTAGACCTGGCCAGTCTTTCCCTCTTAGTAATCTCCAAAACTGATCATGATTCCCATATGGGCATTAATGCATCTCGCAAGGCTACAGAAAGTCACGGGCTTTCTCTGCCTCAAATCTGAGACAATCAGAATAGCAGAAAAAAACAGTGTAGGAAGAGGCAGAATACTTGGTTTTAGTTTCAGCTTTGCTTTTCACTATCTGATGAATGTGAACAAGTTGGTTACTCTCCAGAAGCTTCAGTTGCTTATCAGTAGATGTGGACAGTAACATTTCACCTCTCCAGGAATGTGGGGGAATAAATGAGATAATCAGAAATGTAACGTACAAACTCGAGATTGTTGGTGTTGCATAAGGCATGCTGGGCCCACACACAACCCACGGGTGCCTCTTCTGAGGTAACAGCAGGTGTTCCTTTAGGAGCAGCCTAACACGGTCTTTTCCACACTATAAACTCTCAATGAAGACTGACAGATTAACTGATTTTTTTGAACATGTACTTTCTTACCAGCAATTCTGGTTTCTCTTTTTGGTTCTAGCATTTTATTTACTTATCTGATCATGTATTTTTATTGGACACCTTTATACAAATACATACTGGTAACAAATAAAAACATTTTGAAGATTCTGAAACCTTTCATTCCCTTTTTTAATAGACTCTACTCGTTTCCCGAAGGGCTATGAGGTGAATGGGCGTATCACTATGTGTCGAAGGAAACATTTGACAGCCTCATACATAGTCACAGGTAAGACTCAGAAGCTAATTTTTTTTTTTTTAACCGACTGCGGGTTTTTATTCAGTCTGTGAAGAACAGTTTAAAATGAAATGTTAGTACACTCAACATCAGCTTTTCGTTTGACATGCTCTGTTATTACAAAAATCAGAAGTCATTACAGTATTTGCACAGTGTAACCACTAGTTGCTAAATAAAAGCTAATTTCTATAAAACCGTATACTTAATGCTGTTTTATTTAGAAATTAAAAGTTCTTTCAGCTAACTGGATATATATGTATGTATGTATATGTATATGTATATATTTTAAAGCAGAAAACCCCAGAAACAAAAACAAGAAAAAAAGTCAAAATAGTTAAATATTTTGACATCACAGTTTCTACAAATACTAACTTCTGCTACTATAAAGGAAACCGTTATCTGTGGTAAAAGTCCTCGGCAGGGAGGAAGCCAGCTCCCTTCGGGTGCAGAGCTCGCGCGCTCCTGCGCCTCCTGCGCCGCGCGGGTCGCCGCTTCCCTCCCACTGGGCGCGCGCCGAGCCTCAGCCGACGTTTTCACCCGGCAGGCGGCACTGCCGACCGGCCTCGGGTCGGGCTGTTCTTCCAGGTCGCCTTTCGCGAGCGGCAAGGCACAGTCCAGACCCAGGGTCGGGTGGGCGCTGCGTGGATGGGAGCCCGCCCGGCCGCCCGGTTTGTTAACGTCGCCCCGCTTGGTACTGGGCGGAGCTTGTGGCAGAGACCCTCTCCAACTGGACCCGCGCAACAGCTTCTTACCAAAAACGGAGGGAGCCGCCTGCTGCGCGAGAGGAGGGACCCGAGTTCGATCCCCGGTACCAAAAAACAAAACGGAGAAATTGGAATGCCAGTGATGAATACTATGTAAATGTCTTGGTTTTTCTACAATTTATAGACGTCTTCCAGCCGGGTGTGGTTGTAAGCTCCTGTAAGCCCAGCACTCTGGAAGGTTGGGTGGGCAGGAGGGTTGTAAATGAAAGCACAATATGGGCAACGTGGTGACTTAGCAAGACTGTCTCGAAATAAAACAGGAAACTGCAAAAAAGGCCACCGTACAGCTGAGCTCTGCAGCCAACAGGTGACTAAGAAGACTGGCAAGCTAGGACAGTCAGGCCCCAATAGTATCCTAGCCTTTGGCTAACGGAATTCATCACAGTCAATTAGTTTAGCAGTGTCTGCCATGTGCCTGTCAATTCTGAGACTGACCTGTGTGCTCTCCAATCCTAGACTGCGCCTGTGCCTAGCGGGAAGCAACCCTCAGTTATTTTGACTGCTCATATGAAGGAGAGATGCACCACGGCACCTCAAGTCTCCTTATTCGCCTTTCCTAGCAATAAGTCTATCCTTGCAAAGCACTGATGCCTTTGGCAAACGGTTGGGGGTGCACAGATTTAAAACATGGTCTGTCTCTAACAAACTTGAAACTGGGAGTGAAGGCTGCCTGAGAATTGAGTTTAATTTACTGAGTGAAAGATGACAAGTATCCCCTAGTGACAAGATGAACAGGAGTCAGACTCTGAGTTTGTTCCCTCTGGGTTCGATTTAGAAAACTGGGTTTGCGATTCTGGAAAAGTATTTTTAACTATGGAATCTTGTGAAAGCAGGGTGTAATTAGATACTTTAATAACGGTTAGTCCTCCCGGAACAAATAAGCCTGGAGGATGGTTAAGTGACCCGTGCACTCCGGGCACAGTCTCGGAACACACGCTTGAACCCGCACCAAAGGCACAGGCCTCATCCTGACACCTGCCTCCTCTGCCGGGCTGCAGAAGCTAATTCTTGCTGCTGGTTGTTTGACATTCAAAATAACTTCTCCATTTTTATGCGTTATCCAAAGCTCCTGGGGCAGCTTCTCTCGTTTCTGAAGAGCTGAGCAAGGAAATGTACGTTGGTGTCCTAGCACAGCAGCTCTGGGCTTAGAAAGGAACAGAACTGGATTGCACATTTCAGAGAACTTGAGGAAATAGATAAGGCATAGTTCTCCAATACTCTTTTCTCCTGCTGAATATTAACCAACTTTTTTTTCCCCAGAAAAATCTATGTATTTACCTTCCATCCTATGGGCATTTGTCATTACATTCTACCAGTGCTGACTTACAGAAGCAGCTCGTTTCCTTTGTCCCGTCCTGGCGGGATGCTGGAGTATGGTGAGCACAAAGGTCCCCTGTACGGCACCAGGGTGGAAGCTGTTCATTCGGTTCTTGATGAGGGACGGGTCTGTGTCCTGGACTTAGAGCCTCAGGTGGGTCTGCAGTGGGGTAGTTTCCATTGGCCTCTGCAGTCCTGAGTGCGTCGTGCACATGCTATAGGCAAGAGCTGAAGCATTTATCTGTCACTCTTTTATCTAAGTCAGGTTGATACTTGGAGCATCAGTTGCTAACATTTTCTTTCAACTGGGGCTGAAGGCTTGCTTTTCAGACACAAAAAATGAACTGAGTGGTTGGCCATAGAGAAAAAGTAGGATCTTTCTTGAGTTGACCTTGATCGAAAACACATCAAAGTAGCTTCTTGGTTTGTGTTTTTGTTTTTGCAGTACCAGGGATCAAACTCAGGACCTTGTGCTTGTGAGGCAGGCACGGTGCCACTGAGCTAGATCCCCGGCCCCAAGGTAGCTTCTTGGGAGGGACCTAGGAATGGGCTCACAGAGGAGGTGAGCTTCCTATACTGTCACATCTGTGCTGCTTCCCAGACAGCCCGTGTGGAACCACCAGGGGCGAGCAAGTCTAGGTAAGGGGAAGAGTGTGCCGTGTGTAGGCCCAGTTTCTGTCATCCTCACATTTTCTTTCATCATTTAAAAATATACCATGTGTGCTATAGAGAATGAGAGAAAGAGGGCTTTTTCTTCATTGGGTCAAAGCCAGTGGTCAGTGCGAAGCTGGCAGTAGGGTCCAATATGAGGGACAGCAAAAGGAAATGAAAGAGAGGACAAAACAGCTGCTCCATCTGGAGTTTCTGTATTTGTCGTATGAGATCCTCCATCCGTAAGGAAGATTCTGTCGTGTATAGGACTTAATCAGCAAGTAAGATTTCAATAGCTAGTGATAACTAGAAAGAAGAGCCAGGATTTGAGCTTAATTTTCATTCTAGAAACCCATCTCTGTATTTTTAAAATTTTTTTTACAATTGAGCAATTTGCAGTATATGATACTATACTTTAGCTAAAAATAATTGCTAATTTCTGACCTTAGAAAGTTTGAGAACATTCATCATCAACTAAAGGAATTTGGAACTTCTGTTTTTAAACGTGCACTTAATTTTTCTATGTAGGATATTCAAGTGGCTCGAACCCGTGAACTGAAGCCCTATGTCATATTTATTTATTTATTTATTTATTTATTTTTTTGGTACCAGGGATTGAACTTGGGTCCTTCTGCTTTTGAGGCAGGCGGCGGAACCACTGAGCTAAATCCCCGGCCCCTTATATCATATTTATAAAGCCATCTAACATGAGTTGTATGAAACAATCTCGGAAAAATGCCAAGGTCATTACTGACTACTTTGTGGACATGAGCTCAAGGTAGATCAAGTTAAAGTCCCTGCATCGATTTCAGTGATGGTGAGGCCATGGAGGCTGGTTGGGCTGTGGGCAGAGGACCTTGACCTCAGTCCCTCTGGCCCCTTCTTTGCCCTTCTCCCTAGAAGCCGCTCAATAAAATGTTTCAGAAAAGTACACTGTCTTGTTTCCACAGGATCCCTACATTAAAATATGTCTGTTTGTTTATAATGAGTAATGTCTTTATGATTTACCCTTTTTACTGGACATCACTTATTGATTTAAAAATAAAGTTTAATAAATGCTATGATTTTTTTTTATTTTGGGGGAGGAGGTCTAACTTTAAAAAAAATTCTCAAGCCACAGTTTGCAAAACTAAACAGTAACTGGGTGTGTACAAGCCTATCCATCATTTAAAAATATACTATGTGTGCTTGTATATTTGAACAGATTATTTTTACTTGAACTTTTTTAGGGAGGGATTATTTTTTGTTTGTTTTGAGATAAGGTCTCACTATGTAGTTCAGGCCTGCCTTGTACTACCTTGAACTCACTGTGCAGTTCAGGCTGGCCTCGAACTCGCAGTCATCCTCCTGCCTAACCCTCCCAAGTCTGAGGTTACAGGTGTGCAAACACTTATTTTTAAAAATGCTCTTATGAGTATATCTCATCTGTAGTATGAGGTATCTTGCAAAAATGTCTGTTAACAATGATGGTAATAATAGAGGAGCCAAACTAGGTTGGATTAATTCAGTGAACTTGTTCTAGAATAGGTGATTTTTTTTCTGGTTATTTTTCCCCATTAAATCCACTTTAGATATTTTGAGCCATACCATATGATTCACTAAAGGTGTATAAATCACAAGTGTGCAACTCAGTGGAGTTTAACACATGTACACACCCATGTCACCATCACTCAGATCAAGCTATTACAGCTTACTTACTTGTGTGTGTTGGGGAGAGGTGTTAAACGTGTAATATAAAAGCTACCTTCAAAACCATTTTAAGTGTACAGTTCAGTAATGTTCAGTAGTGAATTCACCTTGCAAAACAAATTAAAAATAAGACTTTCACAAATATTTTCACATCATCCTTGTGTAGGGGCGATTGCCATTGCTAATCTCCATAGTGTTCCACTTTTAGTACAGTATATGTGCTGCCAAAGCAAGCAGAAGTGTCTTTATATTGTCCTTCTTCATCTTTTCCTATTTTTATCTTCATGTTTTTCAATGACCATGAAAGTCTCCAGCTTGTGTTTGGAGCAGTGGAGTCTGTGGCCGTATTCTGAGTCCTTAGGGCTTTTGAAATTGTGTTCTCAATTTTTTTTTTTTTTTTTGGTACCGGAGATCGAACTTGGGTCCTTGTGTTTGCACAGCAGGTGGCGAAACCACTGAGCTAAATCCCTGGCCCACTGTGTTCTCATTTTTGTGGCAGTCTAAACAAATCAACAAAACTGTTTCAGCATCATGAGAATGATCATCTTGTAAAGGAGTAACACCACAGGATTTCAGGGCCTGCATTTGTATTTGCAATTAAAATTGTATTGGGAGCAAGTTAAAATGTTTCCATTGTCATGGACAAAAAGAAAATAACAGCACTGAATACGATGCATTAGCGACAAGTGAAGCCCAATGCTCTTCCCTGAATGAACATTTCACAACCATAGAAGTAGATAATATTCCAGCACTCCAGAGGCTGAGGCAGGACGATCACCACAGGTTCGAGGCCCAGCCTGAACATAACAAGACCCTATCAAAAAAAAAAAAGAAAAAAGAAATAAATAATACTATAGGTAAATAAAACCACCAGAAAGCAAAGGATAATTTAGATATAATTCAACAGAACTGTCACACCATCTTCGTGAAAACTGGCCATCTTGTGTTACAAAATGATGTCATTTCTATTAGATTAATGTTCATTTAAGGTTTTTTGTTTTGTTTTTTGTTTTTTGGGGTTTTTTTGGTGCCAGGGATCAAACTCGGGTCCTTCCACTTGCAAGGCAGGCAGCAGGACCACTGAGCTAAATCCCCGGCCTCTGTTCATTTAAGTTTTATGTAAACTAGTTTTTTATTTTTATGCTGGTTTGAAAGCTTCAAGTGTGTAGAAATGGGGTAAAATAACTGTCAGAAGTTGAGGGGAATAATTATCTACAAATTATTACTACATTTTGTAGTTTAGAATAGAGGACATTTGACTCATTGTTCTAGTAAGCAGCCCAACTGAAGGTGACGGTGTGACAGACTGTGTATTATTTCTTTGTCCCAGTAAGTCTGTGCTGTCCATATTTTTCTATTTTTCCAAAGGATGAAGACTTAGCGCAAGAGATGGAGACTCAGTTTGGGCAGGTTTTTGATCATGTGATTGTGAATGACAATTTGCAAGACGCATGTGCCCAGTTGTTGTCTGCCATACAGAAGGCTCAGGAAGAACCTCAGTGGGTACCAGCAAAATGGATTTCCTCTGATGTGGAGGCTTACTCAGGCCTCTAGTTTCAAATTGGGGTGTTAGCATTGTACCCTTGTTACAGAGATAACAGCTGACATCTAAACTGCAATATTTGACCCTAATTAAAATGTGTGCAACTTGTAAAGCACTGGTTTATGTTAGACCCAATGAAATAGAACCAACTGGAAACCAATGTAATAGTCCACACAGGAGTTTATTACCGGCCAGACCCGAGCAAAGTATCGGACTCGAGCCCCGACTCGGGGGAGACAAACAGGTTTTATACACTTTTGAGGCCAGCAGTTTCCAGGCCTCCCATTTGAGAAAACTAGCAAAACAAGCAAAATATACATAAGCGGAACGTCTTGAGGTTAGAACAATTCAAAGCCACAACTCAGGATAGTTCATTTTCTTCCTGTTATTTCTAAAGGGGCTTTCCAAGGGGTGGAGATTTCTAAACTTTCTCTTTCTGGGTTCATCTAAAGGACAGGCATGTGGGTCAGGCAACAATATGGAGTCTGTTATGCTAACTAAGGTCCTTCAGTTTATTAAATCATTCTTATTTGAAAAAACTATATGGTTATATATGGTATTATATGTATTGTATGGTTACATAAGCAAAAGGTTTTTTTCCTGTACCTTATATTAAGCAGTGGTAGGAATAAGTATAATGTTAACTCAGGCAATGAGAACCTTACATAGATTGCATATGGTCTTTGTAAGATTTAGGGGAAAAAGACCTTCCTAATAAAATAAGCAGTTTTTAACTTCAAAAACTGTATTTTACCTTATGAAATTTACTTTCACATGTAATTTCTTTTTACAAAAGCCTACTTGACCAACTCAGCAAGAAAGGTTAATATACACATTTCACATCTAAATCAAAACCTACAAAAAAAAAAAATTAAGCCGGGTATTTAGCTCAGTGGTGTTGCTGCCTGCCTCGAAAGCGCAAGATCCCAAGTTCGATCCCCGGTACCAAAAAAAAAAAAAAAAAAGTACAAAAACCCCCCTGCAGAACGGCAGTCATCACTTACAAATCATGTGACAAGGAAAAACTATGCTTCGGATCAGAGGTGTAACAATCATTAATATTCCTAAAGGCTAACATCCATATGTATGCCTCGATTAGGAACGACAGGAACAGTCTTGGAGACCTAGGATGCGGGCCTCCTGCGCTGGGGCTCGGTCGCTCTCGGGCCAAGGGTCTGTTCACCGCCTTCCTCAACGTTCACACAGTGCCTCCATCCCGTCCCTCTTCCGTAACTGTAAAGCCGAGTACACGATCCAAAAATACTTGTTCTTTTTCCCCTAAATTGAACAAATTACCTAAGGATAAAAAGTGAGCTGTTTTTAATGACACTTCCGTGAGCTCAGATCTGATTTTACGTCGTGACTTTGTGACTTTCACAGCTGCGGGACAGGGGCGAGCAAGCCAGCTCTGCAGCTGGGCCGAGGCCGCACGCGCAGCCCCGGGGAGGCAACAGCGTCTCCTAGCTTGGGCCGCGGAACCTCGCGCGAGTCCGCGTTGCCACGGCGACGCGTCGCGTCACAGCCCGGCGCGCCCGACGGGTTCCAGGCGCCAGCACAGCCCCTGGGGCTCACGGTTCGTGGAGGACAAAGCTCTTAGCTGCCCACAAGAGCACAGTCGGCCTGTGGATATGTGTATATCAAGGTTTTCTCCAACGTCCGGTCCTGCCTAACAACTCACAGCGAACACCTAGGAAACCATGGGGGAAACCGTGTTTGCAGCTGAGTATCTGCCGGAGTCACTGCACGTCGGCTCTGATCCCGAAGCCCTTTTCCCGCTGGCTAGTTCGGAGAAGTCAAACCAGGTCCCCGCACCCTGACGCCCTCCTGTCTTCCCCAGCAGGCCTTGGGCCCTGAGGCGCTGTGCGGCGCCGCCGGATGACGCACGCACCAGGCGCCACCGGCCCGGGGTGGGGTTCGCGGCGCAGCCTGATGACGCACGCACCAGCGCGCACAGCCGGGCCCGGGGGCGGTGTCCCGGCAGCCGGCGGCATGGGGAAGACGCAGGTGGTGAGCGAGCCTTAGGGGTTTTGAGCGATTAGGACTTTTGCCTTCGGTTGAGCCGTCCTTTTCTTGAGGGGCTTAGAGGTTGGGTTTGTGGATAGGTGAAACGTCACTGTTGCGGGACTTTGGAAACGCGTAGCTGAGTGGACGGGGTTGGAAATCGCGTCGTGGCATCCCTGGAACTGTAGCGCGTGCTCGTCGCCCTCTTCGGGTTGTTATTCTGACTGCTGGTTAACACTGACACCTGCCGTGCGTTTGTGTTCATCAGAGGAAGTGGCTTGCTAAATGGAACAAACTACAAGCCTATCTAAAATTTAAACCTTTTAAATCAGTGTCTGATGGGCCGGGGATTTAGCTCAGTGGCACCGCGCCTGCCTTGCAATCGCAAGGTCCTGAGTTCGATTCTCGGTAAACCCCCCCCCCCCGCCCCAAGTGTCTTCTGCAAGCAGCATGAGGTACTTTGGATATTAAATTGGCTCCTAGGCATTCCTACTAGTAGTATTTCATTTTGTAAGATTCCAGAATTATGCTTAGAGTCTGTTCTCTGAACTGCAAACATGACTTTTCTTGCTCAGGTAAAGCAGCATATACTTAAAATCCATTTTTCACTTTGTTCAGAGTGAGCTTTTTTCAAAAACATGTTACCATGTGGTGTAAAACCTAAATTAGCTTCTCATTAAACTTACACAAAAGTCCAGATTCCTTCCCTAGGTCTGCAAGACCCTAACTGACCCAGCTCCTTCCCGCCTGACAGTGACCAGGTGCTGCAGTCCGCTGTCGCCTGGAGCTCTGGGACCTACTCCTCTCCAGGGCATTTGCTCCTCATGGTCTGAAACTTGGGCTTGTTTCTCAGTCAGGTCTCAGCTTAAAAATCTTAAGCAGATTTACTGCCTAAGTAAAGTAGCACTCCTCATTCGTTATCATGTATATATTTATTTTTATGTATGAATATTTTATCATATATTTAACGTTATCTTCTAATACATAACCAATAGAATGTAAGTTCATAAAAGCAGTGACCTCAGTTTTGTCCCTATTCCTAATGCTTACAACAGAGTTTGGCCTGTAGATAGAAATATAAGAAGGAAAGAATTGTATATGATATTTAGAAATGGTAGAACAAATTTAAGCTCATCCATCTGATTTATATCAGTATCTGGCAGGTTTCAGTGATGAATATCATTATCAAAAGATTTGAATATACATATCTGATCCATTACATTTTAGTCATATCTGAACAACAGGCTGTTGAAAGAATAATTTTGTGGTATTTGAGACACATATAGGTAAGATGTTCTAGATCTAAGCTTTTATTTAACAAGCAGTTTTCTCTTTTTCCCCCTAGTGTCCTCCACGAGCTCTTCCACCCATGCCAAGGTAAGCTTAATTTCTAGTAATTTCATCGTTGAGCTTTAGAAATATTAAATGAGTAAACCAGAAAAATTGACTAGGACCTTTGAAAAATAAGTAAACTAAAATGAGTAAACTGGAAAAATTAACTAGTAGCATTCAGAAAAATTTATTGAACAACAACAAAAATTCTTGAAACATGAGGCTAAATGTATAATTAAATGTTCTATTTAAGCGCCTAAATGTCAACATGATAGAATAATAGATCCATTTTGAATGTTTTAGCGTCTTCATTATCAGAATTCCAATTGTCTTTTGCTTGCTGGAATAGTTTCCTCAGTAAGCTGGGTTTAATCAATGATAGTAAGTGTTCTTTTTTTGGTACCGGGGATCAAACGCGGGACCTTGCCCTTGCGAGGCAGGCAGTAGACCCACTGAGCTAGATCCCTGGCCCGGCAATAAGTGTTCTTAACAGTAGGAAATATGTATATGTAGGTTCCAGAATGATTGGTTTATTTTATTAGTGCTGTTGGATAGCTTATTACTTATAAATAATAGACTAGCTTGTAAAGTAGCTGACATTCTTTGAAAGTTTTATTTTAAATTTGTAATGATTTAAATCAGTTTTCACTCAGACAAAATAGGTTTCTAATTAATAGTTTCCTTTTTTGTCTTTTCTTTGCTGATTAAATTTGTTTGGTGTTGTGTGAAGTGGTGTTAAAGGTGAGTTACTGTTAATGTAAAATTTTTGAAATAAAGTACTTAGCATTGAAAACAAGTTTGAAAGATGGCACAGTGGTGTGTTCCTGTACCACAGCTACCTGGGATGGTGAGACTGGAGGATCTTGACTCCAGTGTTCAAGGCCAGCCAGGGAAACCTAGTAAGACCTTGTCTCAGAACACCAAAAACCAAAAACAAACCCAAAAAACAAAAATAAGTTTGATTCCAGTTTTTTTCTTTGAAACTTGAATCTGAGCAGTGCTGTTTATAATACTACAATGTTTATGTGTTGTAATGGTCTCCCATGGCTGCCATCTTAATCACGGGATGATGTGTAACACTAGCTTGCCTTACCATTCCAGATACTCTTCATCCCTGAACAGAGTCACCCAGACCACCGACTGGTTTGTAGCTCAGTAATAGAAAGTATACCTTCATTTTTCTTTTTTCATTTTTGTTGTTGTTGTTTGCGACAGGGTCTTACTACAGAGTTCAGGCTGGCCTTGAACTCACTGTGTACCCCAAGCTGGCCTTAAACTCATGAATCCTCAGCCTCCAAAGTGCTGGGATTGCAGGCGTATACGTCCATGCCCAACTTTTTTTTTTTGCATTTTTCTAAATTATTCAGGATAGGTAAAGTTATGCAGCATTAACCATCCCAAAATCTCACTGACTTCATATCATGCAGGACTGTTACAAATAATCTCAGGGTTAGTTGCAAAGTCCACTAATGGTGCAGTGATGTAATGAGATCCAGGCTAATTCTGTCTTGTGGTTCTGCAAGCTTAACTTGGAATTCCTTCAGTTGCCACAGCAGCTAGCCTTTTCAATGTCTTGGCCTCAAATGACATGAATCACTTTTCCCGTGAAGTACTAACCAAGCCCTTCTCTGCTTAGCTTCTGAGGTCAGACAGGTCGAGTCCCCTGAACATGGCATGGCGTTAGAATCGGATCACTTCTGCTCATGGCCTAGTGGCTAGAACCAGGCATAGGCAACTTAGAGGGCAGCGGGCTAGGAAGTACAGGGATTGGATGAATATTTGTGGAGCTTGCTTTCTGTGTCATAGTTGCAAACGTTACTGACTGCCAGTGCATCACTGGTACCACATTGTGGGCTGTCTTTGACCTTGTCAGTGTTTCACCTTCTTCCCCTAATGTGTAGAAAGTGATGAATGTAGGGGAGAGACGGAAGGCTTCCGAACTAAAAGTTCTAGCCAGCTGTCATGAAATCAACCAATAACAAATGTTGGTGGTGCTGTGGGGAAAGAGGAACCCTGCTCCAGTGCTGGTGGGAGTGTAGACTGGTGCAAGCACTGTGGAAATCAGTATGGAGATACCTCAAAGAACTAGGACTGGAAGTCCCATTT